ACGTTCACATTTTTAATATCAAAAAATGTTATTTTATTATACTTTTACTTTTTTAATTGGATTGTTCGAAAAAAGAAAAGTAATTTATTGGAATGACCAACTATTTGTATTCTTGACATAGTTTTAATAATAATGATAAAAATAAAATAACAAAAGGAAAGTAATTTAAATTCAATTTGGACACGTCCAACACACAAAGATTATTTGAGATTTAGCTTGAAACTGAGATATCGAATTAAGATTCTATATGTGTATCTGAATGGACAGAGAAGGAGAAGAAGAAGAAATTCGAAGAACGACAAAATGGTCAATTTCTATCTTAAAATCGTTTTTCTTATTAGATTGTGTTTCGAAAATAAAAAATAAATAATATCCAATTATGTTAATTATTCTTTTTTAACAAGTTTCTTAATCAGTAATCATATTGACCATGAGACCTTATTACTATGAGACCAAATTTGATAACATTAATTTATACTAAAAATTATATTAAAAACAACCATATATATCAAATTGTATGTATAATATGTATATGGATTTTTAGGGAAATAATTATGTAGGGAAATAATATAATATAATATATATATAAAATAATTAAAATAATATATTTTATTATATTTTTTTTTATTTTAATATTTTTAAATTATTATATTGTAATAAAATATATAATTTTTATTATTTAATTCAATATAATAAAAAAAATAATAAAAATTAAATAAATAAAATATTTAAATTAAATATTCGTTTAGGGGGAAGGGAGGCTTATAATGGGTCCTATCAAAGCTCTTACATTTTTTTTTTAATTGATACGAAAAAAAGAATAATAATAAAAAGATATTAGATTATTTAAAAATATTTTACCCAATATTATGACATGAATTTTTTCGATACTCTTTTTAAAAAGCTCTTTTTTATTATATTTTGCAATTCTATTATAACACGAATTGCAAACACGGATAAAACATGTTAAGAACCAATAAGAAAAAAGAAAATGTAATAAAATCGATCGATTTAGGATTTAATCGATCATCTCTGGTTCTGGCAAGTTTCGTGACACGAGCGAATCTGTATAAACGAGGAATCTTTTATCACCAGCCTTCGTTACCAAAATGCCGACGGGTTTATTTGCTCGCTTTCCTCATCCTCCTCCTCCTCTTCCTCCTCTTCTTCCTCCTCCTGTTCCTCCTCTTTTCTTTATCCCTTGGTATATCCGCTTTTGATTCATAGCTCGATCCTCCTGGAGCATTACGTGCTACGAATATTCTTTTAGAAATAGCATTTTCTTCGAAGCAATTTTCCCTAAAAATCCATTCGCTTCTTTTTGTTTTTTTTTTTTTACTACATTTTCCATTGTCCTGTCAATAAAAACAAAAATAAAAACAAAACAAAATAAACAAATAATTGCATTCCAAATCAATCCATTTTGTTTTCATTTTCTTTGGAAAATTATTTTTTTTTTTTTTTTTTTAATTTTTTTCATTGAAGTTGATCGAAGATTTGGAGTGGATGATTCGGGTTCCATGTTTTTGGTAAAAAAAATATATATATGTNAAAAATATATATATGTCAACGGTTATCTTAATATTTAATTATTAAATAAATTAATATATAATAAATTAAATTATAAAATAAATTTATTTTTTTTTTTTAATTTTTTTCATTGAAGTTGATCGAAGATTTGGAGTGGATGATTCGGGTTCCATGTTTTTGGTAAAAAAAATATATATATGTCAACGGTTATCTTAATATTTAATTATTAAATAAATTAATATATAATAAATTAAATTATAAAATAAATTTATTTTTTTTTTTGAAGTTGATCGGAATTTTGGAGTGGATAATGTGGGTTTCATATTTTTGAAAATAAAAAGAAAGAAAACAAAAATATGTCGACTGTTATCTCTTTATGAATAAATTTATAACTCGTTATTACGTTGGTAATTTTCATAGAAATTTTTATGAGATATAAAGCCAATTAAAAGAGAAAAATCAATTGATTCTTAAAAGGAAAATAAAATTGGACGAATTTTACGTTCCTCCTTTCTCCAGAATGAATAAGGAACTCTATTTTCTACTACTAGTGAATTCAATTTATTTGAATTACATTCAAATTTGAATTTTCGCTAGATAGGTAAAAGTCGATTCATGCAATGAAAGAAGTCTTAAGGTTTCTGAATGAAATTTCGTCTTTTACGGAAAATTCTTCGCGTTATCATCCTTTAAAAAAAAAACGAGTAGAAATTTGTCGTCCAATATCAGAAAAGTGCCAATTGAACTATGGCAACATCTGTCAAGAGACTATTTTAAGATTTTATTAAGAATTTTCTTGAAATTTAATAATCTTCCGCGATTTATTTGAACAAAATTTAACGAATTATCAAAATCTTTCAAGACTTTCATCTCCAAAAAAGAAAAAAAACACGTTGTTGATTTCTTAAAAAAAAAAAAAAAAGAAAAGGTTAAAAAAAAGTTTGTACAACATTTATGTTAAATTCTTGAATAATTTTCATCTTCTTCAAATGGATAAACGGCGTATTTGGGTTGAATTGTCCCTTTAAAAAAAAAAAAAGGGAGTGGGGGAAGATAGTGAAGAAGAGGAAGAAGAAGAATCGTTAGAAAAAAATGTCTAACTACTTGGAGCTAAATAGCCGTGAAAATCCATAGTGACGTGAAAACGGAAGGATAGGCTGAAGAAAAAGCCCATCAATCACGTTGATTCCACCGCGAGCGAATATTTCTGACGATCCTCTTCCTAAGGATAATCCTAAAGGATATATTCTTTCGAAAATGAAATTTTTCATTTGCACCAGCTGCGAAATATCCGTTGAATTTATCGAAAAATGCGTGTATTTCTCATAGATTGATATATTATATACTCATATATACATATATACATGATATAGAGATGTATGTAGTGTATTTAAAGGATAAATCAAATTCAATTCAATTGATTTGAAATTTGATATTATTATTATTATTATTTGATTTGATTTTATTTACTTTTAAATAAATATATATTTTTTATTTTAAATAAATAAATAAATAAAAATATATATTTCATTTTATTAAAATTTCTTAAT